ACAGACCGATAGACAGATAGATAGGACAACAGAACGATAGATAGATAGATAGAACAACAGAACGATAGATAGATAGAACAACAGACCGATAGATAGATAGATAGAACAACAGAACGATAGATAGATAGAACAACAGACCGATAGATAGAACAACAGAACGATAGATAGATAGATAGAACAACAAACAGAACGATATAAATAGATGATAAAACAACAGAACGATAGATAGATAGATAGAACAATAGACAGATAGACGTCTAGACAAAAATCTAGACAGATACAGACAACAATAGATAGATATCAATAGAACGATATATAGATGGAACAACAGACAGAATGATAGAACGAATAAAGGATAGATAGATAGAACAATAGACAGATAGACGTCTAGAGTCTAGACAGATACAGACGATAGATAGATAGATAGAACAACACACAGAACGATATAGATAGATGATAAAACAACAGATAGATAGATAGAGATAGATAGATAGAGATAGATAGATAGAGATAGATAGATAGAGATAGATAGATAGAGATAGATAGATAGAGATAGATAGATAGAGATAGATAGATAGAGATAGATAGAACAACACACAGAACGATATAGATAGATGATAAAACAACAGATAGATAGAGATAGATAGATAGATAGATAGAACAACAGACAGAGCGATAGATAGAACAATAGACAGATAGAGCGATAGATAGAACAATAGACAGATAGACGTCTAGAGTCTAGACAGATACAGACGATAGATAGATAGATAGAACAACAGAACGATAGATAGATAGAACAACAGAATGATAGATAGATAGATAGAACAACAGAATGATAGGTAGATAGAACAACAGAACGATAGAACAACAGAATGATAGATAGGTAGATAGATAGATAGCAAAATGTCTAAACAAACATCTAGATAGACAGAATGATAAATCGATAGACAGACAGATAGACTGAGCAAAAGAAAGTCTCTGTCTATTTCCTAAACAGATAAACGCTCATTTTGAGGAGGTGCAGACACAGAGCCAGGAGATAACACCACACCTGGAAGTGTCTTCACACACACACAAACACACACACACACACACACAAACAAACAAGCTTTCAGTCATAGTTGTGTCCACCTGTCTCTCCATATGGCTGATCAGTCAAGCCTGTCTGCGGTGTGACTCATTCAGCGTGTTACTCATTCAGCAGCGGTTGAGTGTGATGGGCTCTCGTGTTCACGCTCAGATTTACTGTGTGCGCAAATTCACTCATCTTCCATATGTGCGATTGTGTAAAACAATTAACCAAACATTTTCAAGTTTGTCTCAAGTTCTAAAGCAGATAGTTGTGTTGTTGTCTTCAGGTCCATCCAGTGCACCCACAGAGACCAACTATTAATCTAAAAATGTTTCATAAGAAAACGTGAGTGCGAGTGAGTTACGTGCCAAGGTTTAATATGTAGGATTATGGGTTTGTTCAAATCACTAATTTGAGAAATGAAAACAGTAATGTCTCACTTGGCATACAGCGTGAGTGTGCCAGTTGAATCAAGCTGATATCCACCAGAGAAAATCAAAAAATGTCACACTCCTCACGGCAGAAAATCATTGGATAGCTCCGTCCTTCTCTCTGTCTCATACGCACACACCGGAAACAGGCCACTGCAGTTAGCGAGCTAGCAGGTGAACTAAAAATAATACTGTTTTCGGGCACATTAATTCCCAGGCGTTGTGTAGAAAGTGGGTATATTTTCTCTACTCACTGCTGCCAAACACGTCCACGACCGCAGGGTGGACTGAAGAAACATCAATGGAATTGTTAAAGTCGACAAAACTCTAATCAACAAAAATAAGGTAAACATCAGGAGGGGACTGCAGGTGTCGAGGAAATGACGCACGATAATGAGTCCTAAAAGCTGTTGTTCACACCACTTTACAACTCTAACTGCCTCTCATTTTTGCGAGTTAAATAACTGTGTCTAGAGGCTGAGTCATACAGAGATACTGACTTAATATGAATCTGTTGTCATTCAGTGCCTTTGTTGCACAATTTACAGGTGCAGCATAATTTTGCAACCATTTTCGAACATAAATATGCAACCAAATTTCAATAGGAAATTAATCGAGTCAAATAATTGTCAGAGCAAATATATTTACACATCTAGTTGATAAATGTCAAGCACTTGACCCAATTTCGAATGTAATATTGCAACCAAATTTTGCTCGTAATTAAGTCAAATCGTTGTCAGAGCGAATACTGTATTAACACCCCTAGCTGACAAATGATAGGTACTTGACCTATTTTCAGCCATAAATATGCAACCAAATTTCGTTCATAAATGAATTAGGTCCTTTAGTTGTCAGAGCGAAAATATTAACATCCCTAGTTGACAAAAGTCAAGTACTTGACCCATTTTTGATCTTAAATATGCAACCAAATTTCATTCATAATTCAATCACGTCAGATCACTGATTTTGGTTGCAAAAAAAAAAAACAACAACTACATTTGGTTGTGAAATTATATATCATTTTGAAACATAATATTGCAACCAAATTTTGTTCATGACTGAATTAAGTCTAAACGTTGTCAGAGCGAATGTATTTACATTTCTATTTAACAAATGACAAGCACTTGACCCATTTTTGATCATAAATGCAGCCAAATTGTGTCCAAAATTGAATCAAGTCAAAACATTGTCAGAGTGAATATATTTACATTTCTAGTTAACAAATGGCAAGCACTTGACGCATTTTCCAACGTAATATTGCAACCAAATTTCGTTCATAACTGAATCAAGTCAAATTGTTGTCAGAGTGAATATATTAACACCCCTAGTTGACAAAAGTCAAGTACGTGACCCATTTTTGATCGTAAATATGCAACCAAATTTTGTTTGTAATTGAATGAAGTCATACCATTGTCAGAGCGAATATTTACACCTCTAATTGACAAATGAGATTCATGACGTCAGACGAAAAAGGAAAGTCTTTATGCCTTTTAAAGTTTACATAGACAAACTTGATGACTTTCGAGTAACATGCATGAATCATGTTTCGACTTACTGCTTCTACTCACCATTCATGGCACTTAGGTCAACACCGCTGTCTTTGGTCTCGATTTGAGTGTTCTTGCCATCCTCGCTGTCTTCGCTGAAGAATCCAGAGCTCTCCTGAGAACTCTCCATGAAGCCAGGCCTGCGATCCCTCGAGACCTCATCGTGTTCCTTAAAGCCTTCGGGAACATCCAGAACTGGCCCGTGGGAGCGGAGAGGGTTGGGTAGGAGCGCTGGACCAGCGCTCAGAACCTCGGCACACACCAAAACCAGGAAAACTGAACCTAAATGAAAGGAAAAGAGATTTAAAAAGCTCACTTTTTGAACTCGGGCTCATTGAATACACAGATCAAAATCAGCACTAATGAACCAAACCAACTCTTTCACCGCAAATGAATTATTCTTAATAGCTTCAACAGTGACAGATGGTTTCAAGGATGTATATAGATCCATCAAACTCTGACTGGAGACATCTTGTGCCGCCAGCCAATCGCTGCATTGCTGATCGTGGTTTCGAGTATCGATACATAACCCCTTTTAAACCAACCCATGAACGCGCAATTATCTCAGATAACTCAATCCAGCCAGACTAATCATCAACAACAGCTGCGTTCGAAGAACCGAATTAACCAGATCCTGATTAGCGCGATGATATCATCTTGGATGTGACATTTCATCTCGGATGTAATAAGCGACGTACGAAGAACGGGCCCCTGGCCCCGATGGGCTTCAACCACAGATGGTTCCCTATCATGGCGGCTTAGTGTTGTCTCTCAAATCACCCGGTCTTATCTTTCCTCGCCCTACCAGGTCACCACAGGATTAGTGCTGGTTTTAACATTGGACAGCTGAAAAAGGCGACAACTGGGGGGGAACTCTGCAACTACCCTTCTGTTGGAGCTAAGTTGGAGTTTTAAAGCCAATTCACAGTTCTCTAATTCTGACACGGCTTTAGTTTTTATTCATGGATCAGTTTAATGAAATATATTCTCTAGCGAGGCTTGGTTTAATTAAGGAGACCAGCAGGCGTACGCCTCGGCAACTCTGGTATTATATCTAGCAAGTGTGTGTGATTGTGTGGTAATTAACAGGATGGAAAAACCGGCCACTTCCTGCTCCAATTTATGAATTGATCAACTTTGCTTTCTGGAAACGTTCCAGTGGTTTTACAGACCCGGGACGGCCAGTGAACTCAAGCCATGCAATGCTGCGGAAACTTCCAAAATGGGATATTGCTGGAGAGTATAATCCCAAATAACCAAATTGAACCAAATTTACTTAGTACATTAAAGAGAATTAAAGATTAAAAGACCACTTTGTTTTCTGACAAACATTCTACATTTATCAGTAATGCTACATTCTATTCTTGGAACTCGGAAGTCTGATGATCCAGCATTCAACTTGGGAAAAGTGCAACGAAATGTCACTTGTACACCTGCAGAATAAGAGCTAGCATACAATTCTCCAAAATTGGGACATTATACAACAACTTTGTTGCCATGGCACTTTCTTATTTGCATTCAAATAAGGCGCGAAAACTCAATGCACAGGCTTGATGTCGATGATGCCGAACGCCATTGGTTCTTGGAAATGATCCAAATGATATTTTAGAGATTATCAGTGAATAATTACTTTGTGTCTGATCTTAATGCAAAACTATTAGACAACTTCAAAAGACTTGGAATACAGTGCACAAGTCATATGGACTTTCATCGTGCCTTTATTGTCGTTTTTGGAGCTTCACAATCCCTACATGGTCACTGGTCAACAATGGTCATAGTAGTTTACAACAAAAATACTAATTACAGAATTACAATTTTGGGGCTTTTCCTCCAAGTTTATATGCTTCCTAAACATGTACCACCGAATAAACCAGCCCAAAAGTGACGTAACAAACACAGAGTCACCTCTATCTCTGTGATGTGTGTCCTTAAAAACTGTCAACGTCCCACCCCAGTAGATCACATTAATTATGGTTGACGCAATCGTATTGTGCCTCAGTGGATTCCGGTTTCTGCAAGGCTACTTCTGACCTCGGTTGAACAGCGAATAAAGAATGTGAATTTGCTGACGGCTGCTCCTTGGCCTTGTGCCCCAGAGATGCTCTCAAAGTTTGGACACACGTTAGATGGTACATTAATCATAAAAGCTAATGAAACTCATGAAGATGAATCATTTGCACATAAACTTGGAAAACAAAAGAAGACCTTTAACAACTGCAGAGAGACACAACTAAAAAGAGGACATATTTTGCTAAAAATGTTTGTAAGAACTTCAAAAAAAATCTCCCTTTACTCGGTTCTCTGAATTAATAAAAATCTACTTATTTATGCTTATCATTTAATATTTAGTGTGTTTCCTGAGACAAATAATATACCCCAAAAATATTTCCAACGTCGGGATGAAAATACAGGATATTTGGTCATTTAAGTTCTTATTTCAGGAAGATTTGATGTATACAGAAAATAAATAAATAAATGAATAAAAACTGTCAATAACCTATCTACATCATGTCACTCCAAATACATAAATAAGCAATAAATATCATGAAAATAATGTCACATGGCTCAAAAAAATCCAAATGGTAATGAATATGAATCAGACATGTTCTTGACATCTTCTACACTGTGGTTTCATATCATAGCAGTCGCAGCATGTCCAGCGCCCACCTGTTTCTGTCTGACTGATTTCAGATGTCTTAAAATAGTGCACATTCATCCGTTCAGACCAAGACGCCACAATCCTTTGCCATCTGATACGAACACGGATCCGTCACATAGCAGCTATTGTACTAAATATATGAGCAGTTCAGCCAGCGCCAGTATCAGACTCTCTCTGAAAGAGACGAGGAGCCTGAACACAGAATAAAATGATTCATCATCAAACCCGACAAAGCTTGGCCCAATTTGAAGTGTGAGCCACCTGGACTTCAGCAACACACTGTGAATACATACAGCTGCCAATTATTTATCTGTCTAAAATCCTCTCTATCGCTTTTTCTTACCTCTCGGAGAAAAAGCCACGTCTCATACGAGCGGCTCAAGTCAAGATGGGCTCAGCGGCGAGAGAAATGCTGATGTCACCTGACCTGAATGGGTTTCTGGGCTGTGCCAGCTTACAATGCAGCAGTGCCTGTGGGTGCAGGTGGCACTGAGCGTTAGGAGGCAGATTTATAGTCTAAGACTGGCAGCTGCAGGTCTGCAGTGCCTGATATTGCTAAAGAGGGAATGAGTTGTACCACAGTACTGAATTATTACCATATACCATGGTATTTCTAGTGGTGCAATGTCCAATTAAAGATGCTATCTATAAACATGACTGTACTGTAACTATAACCTAAATTAAATGGCAATACAGTACTTTGACCAAGGCATCAAATGTTTTCGATATGGTATGCCAACGTACTTCAAAATATACCATAGTATAAGTTCTAAAAACATTGTATTACTAAAGCAATACCACAAAAACAGGGTAATACTTTGATATACCGGTATATTATAGTATTAGGTGATTACTCCAAGGAAATGTGAAAAAAACCACTATGATATCTACAGTACATAGTGATATTGTAACAATAACCTAAATTAAATGGCAATACAGCACTTTGACCATGGTATGCTAAAGTACTTAAAGAATACCATGGAATAAGCTAAAAATAAAAACATGGTAATCTCACAAAAACGGTGGATATATCAAAAATACTTTGATATTTATCATAACATTGAGTCTTTACCATGGTAGTTACATAGTACTCCAAGGATATGTACTTTGACATATACCATGACATGAAATGTTTACTATATGGTACACCATGATATAAATTCAAAAAGCATTGTACTACCAGAGTAATACCACAAAAACAGAGTGATATTTTAATATACATCGTGGTATTGTGTGATTACCATGGTATCTACATGGTACTCCAAAAAACTGAAAAAAAAACCTTAAGAAAATTAACCATGTATTTATTACAGTAAAAGTGTAACCATGTTTTTTGGTATATTGATTACCATTTGTATAACCACATTTTTACTACAAATATGATGGTTAATCTATGGTTAGTGTAGCAACCCTGTTGAAAAAAACCAGCATATGCTGGTTAGGTATGTTTTGAAGCTGTGATGCTAGTTTGAGCTGGTTTAAGCTGGTCCTTAGTTGGTCATGTGCTTGTCCTAAACTGGTCCGACCAGCTTAAGACCAGCACATGACCATCTAAGGACCAGTTTAAACCAGCAAAGGACCAACATAAACCAGCAAAAGACCAGCTTAAACCAGCTCAAACCAGCATCAAAACATACCCAACCAGCATATGCTGTTTTTTTCAACAGGAAAACCATGGTTAATTTTCATAAGGGACAGTAACTATAAGCTAAATATTAATACAGTATTTTGACATATACCATGACATCAGTAGTTCACTATACCGAAATCCAATCTACTTTTAAAGAATATCATAGTATAAGTTCAAAAAACAATGTATTACCATAGTAATAATACCACAACAACGATATTTTGATATATATTATGGTATTATTGAGTGATTACCATGCTAAAAACATGGTAGCATGTCCAAAAATACCACACTGTGTATATATATATATATATATATGGCAGCAAAATGCATATACAATGATATTTACATGATAGTCTAATATATCTGGTTCATAACATCATGGTACTATCATGGTAATTTCCTATTTACCATGGCATTTACACGCCACTCCAATGTACTTCAAAAAATACTAAGCTATTAACATGGTATGTTACAAAATACTCAAAGAGGGTGAGCAAAGAATCAAATGCCAGTTGATTTCAGAGTGAAATGGGGTGTTGAACAGAGACTTGGCTTGAGCCTGCATCTGTGCTGCCCATTAGACTAAACAAACCTGACCTGTCATTGTTGTGTCTGGTCATCGGTCTGTCTGGAGCGGCTTTTGACCAGCACAATCTGTCAGCCGTGGCCTCATGGCCATAACAAGCCATCACACACACGGCGTGCCAAACACAATCAGCGTCCACAACAGCTGCGAAATGTTCTTTTCTCAGTTACATGATGAATCATGCTGACCGGACCTGAATACATCAGCTCGGTCTCTAGATAGGGAGGAAAAAGGGGCGTGTGCCGCAATCTGCACTACCAGATCAATAACACAAATATCTGAATGACTTCAATGACTGGACTCTTCATACTGGGGATGAGGACAAGCAAAGCACATCAACAAATCATAAATGATCATCTCAGAAAATGCCTTTTTCCCTCCACTTATGGCAACAATGAGAAGTGTTAATGATGCACATTGGTTTCAGACACAATATGAATCAAACCTTGTGATTACTGTACCAGATTACAAAACTAGTATTCTGACATTTATCAATGATTAAATAATCAGTAAATTTTTTTTTTTTTTTTTTTTTACCACACATTAACATTACACCAGGCTATAAATATTTTTAAATACACACATTCTCACATAAAATAGATTAGTTTATAAAAAAATATAATTAATACGGAATAATAATACAATGCATTGATATTTTTATAAAAACAATACAAAATTAAATATGTTGTAATATATTTACATATGCATTCATACAACACAAAAAAAATACTGAACTCACCCAACATCAGGCACTGGACAGACGCGACTGACATCTCTGCGGCTTTAAATGATCGCGGTGAGAAATAATCGCGTCAGTAGCGTTTCAGTTCGTTCGCATGTGCATCATATGTGACTTAGTGACCTCAGTGTGCGCTAGACGAGACGCACTAACACGAATTAATCATCGGAACTGAGCACAAAAGGTCAGTTGTCGGGCAGACGAAGCGTGATGTGACTGCGAGGAAAACAGGTTCGTTTGCTGCTCTTCTTGCAGCGATAGATTGAGGATTTTGGAGGGTTTGATTCCTGGCGCAGTGATTGCAGGCGAGCCGCTGCAGCGACGCAGGGTCCTAAACCCCGCCGATCAACTTGTTTTAGCGACAGCACGAAACGGTCAGCGATGGAATCCTGACGTCGACCAATCAGAAAGCGCCGATTATGATTAACCACGCCCATTCCACACAGCGCATAATCAAACAAGATTGTAGTCAGAGGCGGACAGTAGTTTAGTATTTCTACTCTGCTGTAAAAGTACTTTTCAGGTGTCAGTACTTTATCAGTGTTTTTCTTTAGAAAACTTTACTTCACAACATTCCAAAGCACTTTTTACTGCACTACGTTTCATATTATATATCATTTAATACTTAATTACATTAGAAATCTATTACTTTTTTTCTTTTACTCAAGTAAAAGTAATTGAAAGTTTTACTTGAGTACAAGAAAGTACTACATTTTTAATGTTCTTAAGTATGAAAGGTAAAACAAACAACTTTTATTTATGAAATGTAGTGCAGTAAAAAGTAAGACATTATGCTTTGGAATGTAGTGAAGTAAAAGTTTTCCAAAGAAAAACACTGATAAACTACAGATAATTTTAAATTTACTTGAGTAAAGTAAAAATACTTCACTACTGTCCGCCTCTAATTGTAGTGATTTAATTTAAAATAAAAAGTGTTTTTATTTGCTTTCGGTACGTTTTGCGAGCTTGTTTCTGCAAACAGAAAATAAAGGTAACTGCAACCGTTTATCTTAAAATTATGGCGCTTTATTTCTCACAATTCGAACTTTTCTCAGAATTGCATGTTTATAACCTCACAGTTGAAAGTTTACATCTCACAATTCCGTTTTTTCCTCACAACCTGAACTTGGAATTCTGAGGAAGAAAGTCAGAAGTGCGAGTGTAAACTCAGAATTTTGAGGGAAAAATAAAAATTGAGAAATAAATTCAAAAT